TGGTCCAGAAAGGCATACGTTTCCACTATTCTTTGACCTCTCTTTGATTTTACTTTAACTGGCACAATGGCAAGCTTACAGTCCTGTTCACCGGCCCCAGTAAGACCACTAGTCTGGATTGTAACAGGAATGTTATCTGCCTCATTATTAGGTTTGATTTCATTCTTCTCTTTGTGGTGGATATGGAGTATACTTGCATGTCGGAGGCCACAGATTTTACATGAAAGGCGTTTTCTGCATTCTTTGCTTATGTGCCCAGTACACAAACAGCCAAAACAAATGCGGTTCTTTTTAAGAAAAGAAATCTTCTCATCATGAGGTTTCTTATCAAGCAGAGCACATGACTCCAGTGTGTGTCCGCCTTTGCAGAAAAAACAAGCCTTCACAGTGCTGTGACGATCTTGAGCCTCTGTCTGATTCTGTCTCTCGACGTCAGAGACTGTTGTGGCGAAGCTACTTCCGTTAGCTTTTAGATGTGGAGAACATTTCCCTCCATTGCTGCCCTTGGCTGCTAGATGTGTTGCTGGAACGTCACATAGATTTCCAAAGATGGGATCTGTTGCAATTTTAACTTGACGCTCAAGGAAGGAAACAATGTCAATGAATGCGGCTCTGCAATGTTGCCTCTCCTGAATGTCACATGCTACTGTTCGCCATTTGTCTTTTAACTTATATGGCAGTCTTCTAATCACAGCAAGCATATTGGCAGGTGTATTTAATTCAGAGAGATCATTCATCTCTTCCATTACATTGCAGCATCCACGTAGAAACAAACAATATGCCTGAAGAGCTTTTCCATCTTCTGATCTAATCAGTGGCCGTGAGTGAACTTTGTTCAAATAGGCAGATGCAATCACATGTCCATTCCCAAAGTGCTCATACAGCAGAGTCTTTGCCTTTACATATTCAGCACTTCCAGACATATGTTGGCAGCTTTTAACAAGTTCATTGGGCTGCCCCTCGGTGTACTGTGCAAGATAATGCAGGCAGTCACCAGCATCGCCAGTCTTTGCTTCTATGACCTGTTCAAACGCACGCATAAAGGCCTGAAAATGTAAAGGATCACCATCAAAGGTTTGAATCTCCCTTTTGGGCAGTGAAGAAAGACTTTGCTGATGGACCAACATACAAGTTAATTCATTTTGTTTTTCCATAATGGACAACAGATTTTCATTGGCTACTGGAAGAGCAGCTTGTGGCTTAGGCAAAGGTGGAATTGATCCAAAAGCATCAGAAGGCCCCATAAGAGCTGGTGCAGGCCTTTCCCTTTTCATATTCTGTTGCACTGTTTTTACTTGAAGCTCTGCATTCCCAGTGATTGCATTTCTTTTTGTAAGCATCTGAGGAACAAAAGTCTCTGCATCCGCATTAAGAATTTCAAGGCTGTTTCCCTTTGTTTTAAAATTTGATTCCATTCCATTAGATTTCCGTGAAGCGATGCTCCGCATAGTGGATCCAGTTCTCAGCACGTTCACCTTTGCAACAGTTGCAGCTATATCTGCTTCAAGCTGAAGTTGTTCTTTCTTTCTCCTCAATTGTTCCTCTTGTTCTTCAAGAGAGTGTTTTTCTTTCAGCATATGTTGACGTGCGAGCAAGGCGGCCATTTCAGCTTCTGCCCTGAGAC